GCTGCTTAGACGGAGCGCTCAAGTGCTGACGCTTCCGGAGCCACATCGCTGCAGGGAACAATTTTGTCCACGATTTTGGCCGTGTAATATGCTTTGGAGATACTTCCCCCTACTTTCCCCTAATCAGTAAAGCTAAAGTTCTGAGCAAGTCAGCCGTCAGTATGTAATCTGACATGAAAAAGAGGTAGCTATGGCAGCCTCAGCCATGCATCACGAACGGGGCTGCATAGGTATATGACCATTTGTGAAATAAGCATTAATAGGTATGCTGTATAGCACAGGAAAGTAAACTCTAGGTGCATCGTCGTGACGTACTAGTACATGGTGTGGATACTGGCTTATGGCATGGCATGGCGGAAGTCCTTAAGTCACCTCTGAGGAAGAAAGCACGTTTTATGTTTATGTGCGCATGTAGTGACGTGCAAACCGTTAATGCCACCAGCGCTACAGCTGCGGAAAGATACTAAGAGTTGAAGGGCTCTTCCTTAAGGTTTTAAGGTTTTGTTGAGGTTATTGGCATGTCCAAAATAATAACTTTTAGTTCTAGATCTGGGCAGACAATGTATCGTTCAGTGATCAGATATGGCTATAGATGATTAGGGGACTGTAAGCCCCATGATCATGAGCGAATTGTAAGAATCTGCGGGATTTGTGGCTGTGGATGTTTTAGTAATGCTTGTGATAGCTTGACGGCTTAGTTTGCAGCACCCTTATGGCCGCGGAGCCACATGACCACGGTGACGACCCCCACCCTAGTTCCACGGAGCAACAGCGACGCCACCGGACAACCCCTGTTCCTCCGACCGATCCAAAGCTTTCACCCTTTCTCTTTCCCGGCAAAAGCCCCTAGAAGTACCGCACTATCGCAGCAGTTGCTGCTGCAGGACCCCTGCCGCCGATGCCAGCAGCAACAGCACCCCTGTGGCCACGATCGGGTTGTCCAGACTGAGGAAGCGAGGGGTGGGTGTTGAGCCCGAGGGCCGAAGCAAGTTAGTGACGGGCTCGTCCGTCTCGTACGACTCTTCGCCGTACGATGAGTCCGCTACCGTACTTCTGTTGCTGCTGCTGCTCCCGTCCTTTGCCGTGGCGGTGGCCGCTGGTATATCGCTGTTCAGTTGTTGTTGCTGCTGCTGCGGCTGCTGGCGGCGGCGGCGGTCTTCTCGTTTCCGAAGCCATTCTGCGTAGAACCAGCGCTCCAGCCTGTGAGAGGGAGAGAGCGGATACAGATCAGGTTGAGAGGGGTAAAGCGGGTTACACGGCGAGATATGAAAGCACGTCAGGAGTTGGACGGACCCGGGACGCACCTAGAGCGCCTAGGGTAAGGCAAGTCGGAGTCGTGCAGGATGGGTTGCATTACCTGCGACCCGGGTAGTTCAGCCGATAAGTCATGCAACCCCCCCCAACACGTGCATACTCACATATGTACTGACATATGGTTCACACTCATCATCGCCGGCTGCATACGTACCGGATTGACGGTCGTCAATGATATCGGGGAGCTTCACAGCCGTCACCTTCGTCATCCCCATCCCCACCCCCATCTCTATTGCAACCATCATGCGTTTAACCATGCCTGCTTTCTCTCCGGCTCGTGGACAAGCCTCTGTTAATAAAGACCCGCCATTGCATTCTCATGTCCCGGCCCCGGCACCGGGCCCCTACAAGTGAGGGGGGAACGGCCTAGAAAGAAAGTGCCTCCCTGCCTACCGTACCCCTTAACTCCCTACTACCTTTCGGCATTGCTCCGCCAACACTGCGTCTCCAACAGAAAAAAATCCATACAGCACCGGCACGGAGAGAACCACGGTCACTTGACTCATTTGCAAATGATACCGTACTTCAACATTTAAGGCCAACACCACCATTCAGAGTTAGGTTCTCACCATCGCTCCTGTGTAGCTTCCGGCCCCTCCAGCTCCTGGAGGTAGGTGTTAAGCGGCCCTAGCCGCTTACTGCGACCTAACGCAGCGCGCTCTGAAGGCACAACCACAAGCCACCAGTACCCCGCGGCTACGGCTGTCAGCGCGAGTACAAAGCCTTGAGCAGCCAGGACGCTTGTGTCTGGCAGTTGGGGATCAAATGTCGTCCCCGGGGCCAAAGAGGTTGCTGAGGCAAGGGCGTCTGATGCGCTATGGGTTTGCAGGTTCACCATGTCGCCGCAAGTGGCGTCCTGGCATGGCGAATAGCCGTTAACCGCGAAGGGACCGCGAAGGGAAGCAGGACGCATGATCCGCATATATAAACTTCGTTTCAGTGGGAATTCTGTTTGGCGATGGTGTGTCCACGTCGGAGAGTTCGGCAAATGCGATATACATCGCTGATGCGATCGTCTCCAGCTTTGCCTGCACATCATGACTCTAACAACGATGATACAGACAGCGAAGCTATGTGGACGGTTTGATTTACAATAACTTGTTCTGTTAGATTTTCCAGTTTGTAAAAATTGGCAAAGCAGATTCACTTGCGGAAACAATTGGATTGAATTAACTAGACACACTAGGTTCAATACATTACACTTATATGTTAACAGCTGGTTGATATGATCATGTGGGTGAAAGAGGGCAACAACTACTGTTTATACCGTACTACTGATATCAGATTCTGGAATGTTACCATCTGCACGTCACCTCGGTAGATTGGTATACTGCTCTGCATTCTTCTGACACCGAATGATTTCTGGGATTGGAGAAGAGGCACGCAGACGAGATATCACGTGGCTTACACGGAAGTGTTTTCTTCTCTTGGTAGGGTTTATATCCCAAAATGTCCTAGTGAATATGATCCCAGGCTCAAAATGGATCATCCATTTATTCATGAAGCACACGCGTTCGATGTTCAATTGGTCAGTGAAAGCTTTTCACAACCAAGAACACAGTTTACCGGAAGCAAATCTAGAACATCAGGAAAAATTGCACCAGAAAATCACCCCCGATAACTGATCAGTCCAGAACGCAACGCCTCTAACCACACATAGCACGAGCCCTGCTACGCGCAGGTGCTTAGACGGAGCGCTTGTTGGCCGGCTGCCAGTCGCGGGCGCTCTTGGGGCGCTGCACCAGGAAGCCCATGATCTGCACCTGCTTCACGTTGTCGAAGGCCACCAGGCGCACGTAGGCGTCCGGGAAGGCCTTGGTGCAGGCAACAATCTCGCGCAGCACCTGCATCGGGTCGCGGCAGCCGAACATGGGCAGCTTCCACATCGTCCAGTAGCGGTTGTCGTAGTACAGCTGCGGGGGAGGGAGAGACGGAGTTCAGGGAGACAAATTTGAGTTAATGACCGTATGTCCGATTCAAAAACTACCAAAACCCGAAGTTTACTTCATATCCTTCGAATACTGTCGCAAGTACATGCAAGTCCTAACAACCCTTTCGCTATGTCCCCCAACTTACGCAAGACACTGGGCCGAAGCGGACGGTCGACTCGTTCGACACGTAGGCCTTGTCGGCCTCAGCGAACTCCAGGCAAGGAATCCAGCCTGTAGGATAGCAGCAGTGTTAGTGACCAAGAGCTAGTTTGAGTGCTCTGACCCTGCATTACGAAGTATCATCATAACATCCACGTAAAAACAATCGCTAAAGTCAACTCACCGTTGGCGACGATGTAGTCGACCTGAGCGGCGATCTGCTCGTCGGTCAGCGGCGGCAGATAGGAGAAAGTCTCGAACATCCTGAAATGAGTAAACAGGTTGTGAGCGTTATGTAGGTATTAGCAGGCAGGAAAGATACGCATTTGGCAGAAGCAACCACTAGACTTGCATAATTGCAAGCCCAACGGCAGGAGATTGCGTCATAAGCCATATCTTACTTGTTGTTCACCGGGGTCCAGACCATCATCTTGTTGGCCTGAGCCGGGGTGGCAACAGGGGCAGCCTTGACAGCCGGCTTCAGCGCGGCGCATGGGCGCACGCTGCTGCGCTGAGGGCGCGCGACGGCGGCGGCCACGGAAGACTTGGCAAGCAGGGCGGCCATTGTGTTCAAGGACTTCAGCTATCGACTTGAAAAGTGATTTGGTAGGGAGCGCGTCGGGCTATATCCGAATCGGATGCGACAAGTGTAGACCACCCTGGAGCACACTCATCCTGAAACGCTGAATGTACATAACCTTCGTCTCGCAACACAAATTCCAAAATAGAACCTTGTTATCACTACGATGCTTGTTGACTCCATCGGAGTTAACGATGTATTTGAACGCCTGCAAGCATATGTCACGTACTTCACCTTTCAAATAAGATTTCGTCACAATCATTGCTTCACGACACTAAAGCTTGAAACACAGCATCTCGTTTCGATGAAGTAAAGTCGCCAGTGTCCGAAGTCTGAATGCATGCTTCTTGTAGGGTTGTCTTCAAATAGGTTTCACCGCCAATCAATGCAGATATATGGGTTGGAGGTGCCCATGAGAGAAGGCAAAGTTGTAAATGTTAGCTCTTAGCCCACCTTGCTTACCCTCAAAAAGAACCTATTGGCGGATATGCCAAGTCAAATCACTTCTACAGCTTCCGCCTCTTTCCCAGCACACAGAGTTGCAGTCCACTGTGTAATAAGAACGCAGCACCGCGCCCTTCCCAATGCCCGAGGTATTCTGCACACGGCATGGGCCGCGTGCACGGCACACAGCATGTCTTTTCACAACTTTCCCGATCACGACGACCGAATGCTGTCCCCATAAGGCGTCGCGGAATGTCGCGGTCCCTGGCTACCTTTGATTAGGCTGAGCGCAAACGTCAGGCTTAGTGGGCGGGCAAAAAGAGGCTTAGGCAGTGTTACAACCGCTGGCGCCGATTGATTGGACTATGAATTGATCTCACCCTCTCTCTCTTCCCCTCGCTCACTCATCTTCATAGGCAAGCAACAACATCAATCAACAATCACATGTGAAGCTTCTCACGTACCGTTCCAGGGTTGCTTGCACCGCAATCCCCACTCCCCTTCGCCGCCTGTACCGGGTGAACCCCTCAGCTGTAGCCGCCGATAACTCACGCCGTTTTGCCATAAATGCACGGCGCGCCGCCGCTCTTCAGGCCGTCGGCTTGGTGAGCAGAGCAGAAGGGGAGAGGCACAAACACGCGTACGTGCATGCTCAATTACTCGTACATACAACACACGCATACATACATGCGCATACGCGCCAATCGCGTACGGTGTTACCATCACTTCATTCCCCCCTTTGCGTCTTTCTGAGGGGTAAGTACGGGAGCAGCCATCACCGCGACACGTATTGTACGTAACAATGCACACCCACAAATGCCCAAACACAGACGGGCACAAGCAAGGGTAACACTCAACTCCGCTCTTCCCCTCTATTCCGCTCCCTCTCGCTCTCGTCAGAAGCTCGCGCTCCCACTCGCTCGCTCCACTGTCCCTGCAAGAAGTGCCTTGCGCACATAAAATGTGGCCTCCTATCCTAAACCAACTTGCTTTAAAAGGAGGACATCCACGACGTCACGCGTCAGGAACAGCAACGGTTGTTACCGCCATTTTTGGAGCGCAAAACCCACATCGGCACCGGCGGGCCTGCCTCCCTGATTACTAGCCCGGCCGTACCTGCTATACAGTGCCCCCCCCCACTACCCTCCAGACCCCCGAAAGGGAGGTAATGTAAGCAGATACAGGAAAAGTTTAAGTCGGGAGCTTGCAAAAGTCGCAGTGCTCTGTCGGGCGACTCGACCAGGGGCACACGCGCCGTGTGTGCTGCTCCGCCACAGCCATCAGCGGCGGCGCCATCGCAACAGGTGCCATCAACGACAACAGTACACCCATGTATGCATGCAAGTATACATAACCGAAAATGACGCGGGTTCTTTTAGGGAGAGTCCTCGAGGAGGAAGACCGCGAGGGAAAAGCTCCAAAAGACCGCCGCTGTACCCAAGTTCTCTAATAGTTGCAGCAGTTAAATTGTTGCCAATCGCCGGCCCTGCAGCCGAATCTCTGTGTACGTTTTTCCTTACTGCAGATTGCAGATAGAATCTCAACCTTACTGGCGTACTGGCATATACGAATACATGCAAGAAGGGTGCCGGCGCCGGCTCCGGAACCCCACCCAGCCAATTGGGCCGAGCTGCCTTCGGAGCCAGCTGATGTCCCTTCGTGATCAATCAGGGGGCTGGGGGCAACCCATCCAAAATGCACACATGCAAAAAAAGCGCAAGCAGCACCCCAAGACGTTGGCCCATCCCTCAGCCCTTCAAGCGCCACAGCCTTCACAGCCCGCCCTACCCAGGAAAAGCGCCCCGAGGCAGCGTGGAAAGGAGGCGATCCCGCCATCTGCAACCTCACCAGCATCCATCTAGCAACCCTCCATTATAAACCCTCCCCTTCCCTGCCCCGGGCCTTCAATGCCGAGTCCGTGCTTCCCTCACCCTTAACCGCTTCCTCTACGAATTGACCCTAGCCAACAAAGCGGGCGCCGGCTTCTGTCCATGCACAGGCCAAATGGACGTTCAAGAGCAGCCCTAGCGAGACGCCAGCCATCCCAGCCACTATGAAACGCACCCCACCCCTTCGTATCCTGGCCCGATACGCCCCGACCTGGCCAGGCCAGACCTAACGTTGTCTGACCTGGCCCATCCAAACGCAACCGTCATTCAATCATCAGCCAACCCTCGTGATGACAGTCCCGTGCAAGCTTGTCAACACGACATATGTGCTGCACACGCCGCACCGTCCCCTGTCCCGGTTTTTATCCAAATCGAGCAAGGATAGGTCAGTGATAGGCTCGCCGGCGGCCTGCTGTGCTGCGCAACCCTCCCGAGCAGGGAATTCCTACGTCCCGCCCCAAGAAACACACGGCGTACACACATATACGGTTCGCCTTGCCGGCTTTTTTCATCTGATCTCTCCATCTACTAGCGGCTCGTTCTTTGGACAAAACGGATGCACGCATTCGCATGCGCAGATGCGTAGGATGCGCCCTCGAAGGTCGTACGTTTTGTACCAATGGTGGCCACCAGCGTGCAGCAAAGCAAAAAAGCAAAAGCGCAACTAAAGCAGCCTACCATAGCCATGCCCCGGTACCCTCCACTCAGCCAGCCCCTGCACACCAGCGCGAGAAAACCTACGCTCATCGGTTTTGGGGGCAACGGCAGTATAAACCGCGACAAAGCAGCAGCAGCAGCATTGCGCCAATGGAACAACACGCTCTGCTCTGCTCTGCCAGGAAAATATTAGCAGCATACGTCGCACCCATATCTACTCGAGTACAGAGCCATCCGAGGGCAGCCCCTCCTTCCTTGCGCCTCTCCATCCCTGCCCCGTGGCAGCTATCGACAAGCTACCAAGCCGCCCTTCCAAAAAATCCAGCACTCAGCCTCTGCTTTTTCTCTCTCCCCCTCTCCCTTTATGTATTCTCTCTATGTCTCTAATTGGCTTTTCTGGCAGTAGGTAAGTTCCCCAGCGGCTTTTGCGGCAGCATCTTTCCATGCCTCGTCACTGCTTGCGTGCACACGCAAGATGCATGCATGGAAAAGCGCACTAGCCTGCTTCACCGCTGGAGGAGCCGGAAGCCCACAAGCTCAGCAATCTCCCAAACTCCTGCTGCAGGGCAAGATCCCGCCTGGAGCGCAACATCCTCCCCATCCGCCGCCGCCGCCGCCTCACCCGCCGCCCCAAACTATCTATCAGAGACCACCGTCCTTACATCTTGGGCAGTCCGCAGACAAGGAACGCGCCTTTTGCAGACGGATGTCCACGGACTCCACAACGACAGGCGCCGCAACGGCGGCCCAAATGCCGCCCGCCATTTCGCGTATTCGGCGATGCAGCAGAGGTTCAGAGAGGCAGCCATGGGCATTGCGCTCGAATCGCCATCATCACGCGACCGCACACAGATCTCTTCTGTTCCGATCCGGCATGGGTGCGCCGTGCGCGGCGAGGGAGCGTCCCTCAATCCTCAAGCACCGACGGCGGAATAATTTCCCTCAAGTCCATCCCTAGACCGGAGACGCCGTCGGCGGGCTGCGCGCTGGCCGCCGTCATCAAGTGCGCCCACACGTCGTCGCCGAAGTCACCGTCTTCTGGCAGCACCAGCTCACCTGACGCCATCGAGCGCAACGTGTGCATTAGATCTACCGGGAGCCCCATGCCGTCGTCCTCGTCGTCGGGGCTGGACACGGTAGGGTTATCGTTCACCGGCAGCGGCGGCTGCCGGACCGCCGCCGCCGTCTCCGCCGCGACCAGTGGCGTCACCGCCGCCGCGACCGGCGTCCACATCGACGACGCTGCCACAGTCGCCGACGCTTCGGTCGAGCTAGGGGCGGCAGCGGCGACGGCCGCCACTGCCACCGCGGCTGTGGCCGCAGAGCCGATGGCCGGCAGGCCCGTGGGAGCCGGTTGTCCCGTCGGCATGGATTGCGTTGGCGGAGCCATCGTAACGCTTTGAATGGGGATCATAGTGTGCACGTGGGGGCCAGACCCTAAGCTGGCAGCCGGACCTACGGCACCCGACGCAGAGGCGGGGCCCACAGCCACCACTGTCCCCATTGGCGCCGCGGCGGCGGGCTTGCCGGCGGCAGACGCCGCCGCTGACGGTGCTGTGCCGCCGGCGGCACAGGGCATCGCTCCGTTGCAGGCGACGGCAGCAGCTCCGTTGTGAACCTGTGGTTCGGGGGGCACGGGTAAAGGAAAGCGGACAGAACAAGACGTCCTGATAAATTTTCTAGGTTAAAACGGAATGCAGGGATATGGAGACCCTGAGACCATCAGAACACGATCCAGTGCTAGGCCAAAACCACCGTAGTACGCACGTGCATTCAAACACACCGCTGCTGCATCCCGCCGGCCCAGCTCAACCCACTGCTCCCTCCCCTCCCCAGTACAGTTCAACCCAAGCCTGCCACACGCTGAGACTGCTCCCCTCCCCTCCCTTGTTGGCACTTTCCACATCGGTTTCCTGTGCTGGACGTTTGCATGGACATTTGCATTATTTCCCCATCCCTCCTCACCCTTCCCATGCTCTCCACTCCACACTTACCGGCATGACCGTCATACCAAGGCCCCCGTTTACCGGCAGCAGATGCGCCGTCAGAGGCTCTGGCTTGGGAATGATGAGCGCGGCTTCGGTGGTGTCGACCAACGGGGCCGGCTGCGGCGTCGCTGCCGCCGCCTCCAACCCGTGCGCAAGCCCTGCTAACCCTAGAGTATGCGGCGCGTGGTATGGCTGGATGGCCGTGCTGCCGAGCGGCAAAGGTGACATGGCCACCACACCGTTTGTGAGGCCTGGTGACCCATGGGACGTGGCACATGCGCGCCACGAGGGAAAAGAGCCGTGCGGGGCCAAGGGGGCGGGAGAAAGACGGTGAGTGCGAGAAAGAAGCGGCTCCGGCGCCCCGTATTCCGTGAGAAGAGATACTGGTGGGGTCAGGAAACATCAGCAGTACGCCACCACTCCTTGTGCCGTGGGGGTGTGTTTGCGTTGTGTTCGTGCCGCTGTGGCAGTGTAGTGCAGGACGCCAGAGAGCAGCAAATGGTAGTGGCCCCCCCACCCTCCTTCACCACCACGCCGCTCCTCCGTGCTATCGGACTTGGCCCCTTCGTTTCACCTGTATCCTCTGCCAAATATCAGACATTGCACGTCTCTTACCTTCATGACTGGAGGAGGTTCCCCCCAGGGCTGGCGAGGTCCCGCACGGCTGTTCATGAATGGTCACAACGGGAACAGTAGTGCCAGCGGAGGCCTGCGAGCGACACAAACAATGCACGGGAGGCCGGAGGCCGTCAGTGATATTTACAAGAGGGGGGTAAGACGAACCACTGGCAATTGACGCAGATACCAGAGATAGGCGGGATACTCCAGGATTAAGACAGAGGGGGAGGAACAAGCAAGGAGCTGCGAGGAGATGGGTGACGCCCTGCCCTATCATATACCTTACTCGTATGCTTCCCGGTGTCCCTTTTCTCTGCAGAAGCAAAGTAAAGGGAGACGCCCGTACACACAGCGCCGCAAGTGCCTGGACCTCCCCTCCTCCTCCTCTTCATCCCTATTTCCCTTCCATCCCTCCCATCCCCACCTCACTCCCCTCTTATTCTTCAGAAAACTTCCTTTCGCAAACCCACCTGCGGCCCAATCGCCAGACTGTTGAAAGCGCCCGTCACATCGCCCGTAACGTCCTCTGCCGTAGAGAGCAGTGTCTGAAAGGAGCGCAGCATCATGTCGTTCAGCACATCGCCGCCCGCCGCATTAGGGTTGTACTGAACCAGCTGCTGGTGCGTCACCGCGCCCATGGCCAGTCCGCTGGCGGAGCCGTTGGATGACGTGTCGTCGCCGCCGCCGCCGGTACCGCCCGGTGAGCCGGCGGCGCCGCCACCGGAACCATGGTCCGCCATGTCCGCATCAATGACCTCATTCACACCCACACCATTGCCCAGGTCCATCTCCAAGGGGGACTCCCCACGCGCCCGGCGCTTCCTACGGCCCCCGTTGGTGACCGGAGATGGGTACGTGGCTGCATGTCCGGGAACAAGAGCAGAGGGACGGGTCTTCAGACTGGACCCTAGGCTGGTCGGGACAACACGGCGCTCAAAGCACTCCCCCACGCACATACAAAACAGGATTGATCTGCAAGATTGCTCTCGCCTAAAGGATTTTTGGCTGGAAAGGTTTGTTCCAAGGCTATATGGCTCCTCGCTGACGCTGCTCTCCTGGCCAGGCATCTAAGAGCTCCCTGCCTAGAACCGCATGGCAGGGCATACTACACAGCGTGTAAGGCTGTCCCCTTTGCTGCATGACGTGCGCGCAGAGCAAGGAGGCACTGTTCCACTTGATATCCCTCTCGCCACTTGATCTTTCAGTTTGCCGCAACGCAGCTTCAAGCTTCTAGAAGTGCGTGCAAACACGCTTGCGGGTCAGTCTTTTGTTAGAGAGCCATGCATGCATGGATGAGAGCGCGCGCCCCGCTGACTCACGTGCATTCGCCAAGCGCTGCACACCGCCGGTCGCCATGGTGGACAACATCCGCTGAAACACCGATGGGTGCTTAAACGCCGCCGCAAACATATTAATCATGGTTTGCTGCTTCGCCTCAGTCGCCTCCAGCCGTGCCTGCAAATCCCGCATCTTGGCGTCCGTACCCGCCTGCTGCTGCCGTACACGTACCAGCTCCACCATTAGCAAATTCTTGTCGCGTTTGAGGTTGTCAATCTCCTCTTGGAAGCCGCCGTATGCGCCAATCTCGATGGCCGGTGCAGCCGTTCCGGCTGCGATAAGCGCATTACTCGGCACCGCAACGGCCCCAGCGCTGCCGCCAGTGCCATTGATGCCGCCGGCGCCGCTATGGTGGTGGCTGTGATGCTGGCTGCTGGAAGGCTTACGGCGGTGAATGCCGCGCAGTTGCTCCTTCTTGCCACGGACAAAGTGTTCGTTTGCGAACTCCCAGCGATCTGGGTCGACCTTGCGGAAGCCCTGCGTGCATATGGGAAGGCCACGGGGGTCGGATGGTGAGAGGGGGAGGAGGGGCGGCCAGAGGGGGGACGGCAGTGGGTTGAAATCTCCCAGGCATGGCGGGAGAAAGGTCCAATGGTTGAACAATACACACACAAGAGGTACCCTTGCGCGGTGGTGTCATGGCCACTGAAATGAGAAGCTGCGCGAAGTGGCACCGGTGCGCAGCCGTGCTGCGGCCCAGATCAAGGTGCCATGCAAGGTGCCATGCCATTGGAGTAGTGGGTTACACCTGCTGTGATGCTGGTGGGGTAGAGGCATGCTAACAATCGATGAAAGAGCAGCTCCATGGGCCCGCCTCTGCTATGGCCAGTGATGTCGTACAAGTACACCTCTTACTCCGGCTGGGTTGAGGCTCAGGACGCAACTGTCAGGCTGCCCTGTGAGGCCGCTGCATCCATAGGGTGTAGGACTGTGCCGCTGTGTGCCTCGGTGCGCTGGTGCAAGAGCTTGCGAGCTGCGGCTGGTGGAAACTGGCCATGGATTTCTGAGCTGACCGAGACGGGCACACCGCCACCGCACGGACATCACCAGAGGCGCGCTCTTGGCACGCGCCACGCACATTAATTGAGCATGTCATCCGATCGCGCTGGACCATGCATGGCGAACAGACTACAAGCATCCAAGCCCTACTCACGTATGTGTTGAGTTGTCGGACAAAACTGGAGAAATTGTTGTGCTTGAAGTGCTTGGGCAACAAGTCCCGCGCAAACTCTGGCGGCTTCCATACAATGAAACTGCAAATGAGCAAGGAGAAATAGGTGTCGTCGACCAGGACTCTTAACGCTCAGTCCCGGTCCGGAAAGATTGCACGTCCCTGGAAACCCGCGCTTTGTAATATAGGTAAGATGACTCTCGACCTTATGCAGAGGTTAACTCAGCTGGTCAGCACCTCACCTGCAGCCATCTCCTCCCCACGAAACAATACTATCCGTCGCCGGGTCATCAACAAGGTCGTACCTGCAGCATCAAAGATAATTCCGGACTACGATAAAGAGCCCAATATTTTGTTGTGTCCCAAGCTCCCAAGGATGTCCACTCAGCGGTCTGGGTCTACTGCAACACCGCCACACCGCTCTGGCAAACACTCACGTCTTTATGAGGAATGGTGGTGGCTGATTGGCTGGATTTGTCATGGCTCCTTAAACTGTGTCAAACACCACGAATGATGCCAAAGACGGCCAGACAACGATTTAAGGTACGAAAGGCTACTTGTATAGTGCAACTTAAGATTAGTCACTGCGGATTGATGTCATATGAAGCCATGAGAAACCCCAGAGGGAAAACAAATGCGTCAATTCATTCCGGGGTGCCGTGATAAATAGTGGCCCCTCAGCGTGTGGAAGGTAGAATTTTGTAAAAGCACTTTCAGTGAATAGCAGCGACTCGTAGCTGCTGAAGAAAAGAAAGTTCCAGAGTCCCGTACAATGGGACGAGAATTTAGGTAGGCATCTTTCTTTACTGTTGGAAAGCATTTAGGAGCTGCAACGTTATTCATTTTGGGCCATAGCAAACCTAGGCCAACACGCATTTGATGCCTCATTCTTTTGCACCCAGGATGTCAAATCGGCACCACACTAATCATGACACTAGCATCAACGACTTCGTCAACGGATGTAAGCAGTATCTCCAATTGACAACTTGGCTGCCGTGAAACATAATCCTATGCGGTACCTTCCTACCGCACGTGGCCACGGGCATTATTGAGCTCCCACCTAAGTCAACCGTTAGGTAATCGCTTTGAAGCGTGCCGAATTATCAGATAGCGCACGTCGGTGCCTGTAACGTGCGCCTTCTAGTATCACCGCATGGACGCCCAAGCCGGGGTCTCTGTTGAAAGCAAGCCCTTCATTGGACCACCAAGATGCTGTTCGTTTCCCCCTGCAATCACGTACAACAGCAAAGGGACAGTGGGACCGCATGTTAAGAAGGAGGAAAAGCCTGACGGCAACACACCCAGGGTGCATGCGTTGACATCCGTCACGAACGTTCGCATTATAAATGTGAAGTGGCGGGGACATCTCCACCCGCATGCTCTCCACCCAGCAATCCCAGCCCAATAGACAGCGGCTGCCTTCACTATCCCCATCTTGGCCTCCACAACACCCCATCCTCCCTACCCACACGCACATGGTGCTCTTGCTCCCCTCCACACAAGTACACCACATCCGGAGATAAGAACATTTCCTCCCACCTATGCCTTCGTTCCCCTTCTTCCTTCCCCGCTACCCACTACTTTACAACCCCTTTTTTCTTTCCTCCTGGCCCCAAAACACGGATGCACCCACGCACCAGCTCATCGTTCTCTGTGGGCCAGTCACTCGCCAGCCGCCATCCACCGTCCACCTGGAACTTCACCTTATAGCGCCCCGGCAGCAGCGGCAGATCTGCCTCGAACGTGCGGATCACACCGTCCGAGTCAATGCTGGCCGCCGACAGCTCAAAGCCCCTTGTCCAGCCGTCAAAGTCGCCCATCAACCGCACCTCTGACGCGACGCCCACCCAGGCCACGGGCACACGCTTGGGCACGCGCTTGGCGAACGCAGTGCGCTGGGCCTGACGAGTGGGGGCGCGAGGAGAAGTTTGTAAGGAGGCGGACCAGGTGTATAAAGAAGGCGGTACGTGAATCCTAGGCCAGCGGTGCTGGGTCACTCGCAACGAGCCGGTGCTTCAGATGGAAAAGACGTGCAGTGCATGTAAAGCCGGGGAAAGGCGCGGTGATGTGGACCAAGACCTAAAGCCTTGGCGACCTGAGAGGAGATCCAGATCCAGACAGTACCAAAGCATCCGACCGGCTCTGTCAGCTCCTCTTCCCACACAACCCACATCCTTCCAGAGCATTCCACATCCCAGCACCTCACCTGCAGTGACGCCTCCAGCGTCTCCAGTCGCTCGCACAGCTTTACCAGCTTGGCCACCGCGTCCTCCTTGTCCACTCCGAACCTGACAGCAGCCGCAGTGGACTCCACCAGGCGGCTGGTGGTGCCGAACTCCATAGACACCTGGAGGGTGGAGGGCGGAGGCGGGGTTTCGGAGCAACGGAACTGGAAGATCCCGATAGTCGCCGCCGTGCATAAGCAGTGCACGTGCGTGTGTGTGTTGGCAAAGGCGGAAGCCGGGGGCAGAGGTTCGCAAGCCCAAGACATGACGAGACCCGCAGCATGACCAGCCTGGCCCGTTCGCAGCATGACCAGCCTGGCCCGTTCGCCGTACCTTTTTCAAGAATGCAGCGGCATCCTGCAGGTCCTTGTTGGCCTCCTCGATGCGCCGCTCCAGGTAGCTCACGTGCTGCGGGTGGTTGGGTAATGAAACGACCCGCGGGTCAATTGTGTTCTCCACACTCAGTCTGAAGCAGTTTGAAGCATCGGTCGACACTAGGGGTCCTCCTACGTTTCAGCTTCTTTTTGAAGGCACACATGGCACACACGTTGCAGTGCACATCCGCCCTGCGCGCAGGGACTCCTAGTCCTCTTTCTCCACCTTCAGCCTTGCTCACCGCATTTGCCTCCGCTAGTTTGGCACTCATCCTTTTTTGGGACTCCACTGCCGACTGGTACAGCTGCGGGGTGAATGCGGGCAGGGGAGAGAGTGGCCGCCATTCCCACCCAGGCAGCCAGGCAGTAAGAGGAGGACAGGAATCCGGAAGTGGCGCAGAAGCAAACGTTGTGCGCTGTATTAGGAGTGGAGTGTGAAGTGAAGTTGGAGAGGATTTCGGTTCGGTTCCCGCAGCAAAGCCTAAAAACTACTACCCAAGTGTTGCCTCTGAGCTCCAGAACCCTAACCTAAGCCAACATGACGCTCCCGTATTCCTTCACAGCATCCGCCTGGGGTGGCACTCTACCCCGTTAAGGCATCGCCGTGCTGCAGGGGTGTGGGGCCCCGTGCGTTTAGGGACAATATTCCGGACTGATGCAAATAGGTTGAGGCGTGGCAGAGGCCAGGCAGAGTTAGGAGGGGATGGAGGATCGTTGGAATGGACGAAATTGCTGAACTCTCGATACTCCTGCCTGGCGCGGCATTTGCAGCGCATGATGACGTACCCGGACATCAACGATGCCCGGCGCGCCGCTCCTGTACGGAGTTAACCCGTCCTGGCTGAGCGCTTCCAGGCGGCGCTCCTTAGCTTTATCAAGAAGTGAAAGTTTTTCTTTTGCCTGCGTAAAATAATAGATATGTAAATTGCGCACGCGACCAGCTGTGGACCTATGACCCGAACCTACAGACAGCGACCTTCCCGAAGATGACGCAACGTTAGATGAATGCACCTCAGCGAGGGAGGGAGGATTTGAGCGGCATACACCGACCTGTCGCGCCACACCAAGGCAGCACTTTGCGGTCAGCAACGGTTGGAAATGAAGCACATTGTGAACAGAACATGCACTTCGCACAGTGAACGCACTTGAAAAGGTCGGCTTTGCGCATGTAACCCATAGCTGCAATTGCATTTTGGGTCGACGCGAGCATGTAAGCAGTTCGGATTGCAAGCTTGCATTTGTCCAAATCACCTACGGGAAAGCCACCTAGCGTGGTTGTGAATAGGGACACAGCTAACAAGCGTTAAAACTGATAAACATTAAACTGCGAACAATTTTGGTACAAGGATGTTTCGCACCTCTCCGTACGGGGTTCCGCGCCATGATGCTTCTCGTAGCATCACACGCCCTAGAGGTGAAGCATCGAATCCTTCATACGATATGAATTTCACAACATCTGTTATTTGCCATGCAATTCTCAAGTACAGGCTAATTCGTCTTTGCGTTCACGTTTTTACCTTGACTACTGTTACGCACGCACAACACCGACTACAGACCCGCAGTTTACGAAATGTTCCGTGCTAAGCTTGACTGCCAGTGCACACAAACGTGTCGATCTCGTAAAGTGCAGCTCACGGCCGCAGCTCCGACCGTCGCTGGCAGCCATGCCTTCGGCAACCTGATTATGCACCCAGTCCAACCTGTGATCACCTTGTGCAACTCTGCGTCTCGACGTCAAGTTACGGGACGAGCATCTGCTACCCAAGGTCTTCCCGCCGACCGTGGAATTGATGTAGTCGGCTTCGGAAATCTCTGCGTGGGTAAGACTGTGGCGTTGCGTTGCCCTGGCAGCAAGTCTAGGTGCTTTACATTAATTGAGTGGAGGCGTCTTCAATTGATCCCAAGGGGGGTCGGTCTCTATGGGCACGGTATTGCAGGGAAGCAGCCTGTGGGCGTGTGGTACTGTGTGGCGAAGTCGACATCGGTGTGGTATCGGTGTTGGCGATCTAGCCCTCCCTTTTATATCATTTAGCACGCGCGCACCATGAGTTGGCTTAAGGATACAGTGCCTACCTGAAGAAACCCAGCAACAGCTACGATTCTGGCGGATGCCTTTTGCGATACCATATGGCCGTAACGGTTCTTGCCATTTTCATCAAGGTCGGGATCAAACACGCCAAAGATCTGCTGGGGGATTAGAGAGGAGTGGAGGCCGTACGGCCACTGTGCCTATGGCTGTAAGGGCAACGGGCGACACAACATACCCTGTCCATCACCGCAGCATCTACAACTGCAGCAACCGTGACGGCTGGTTTAACTACAGTTATGGCACTAGTAGCGATGGCAGCAATATCAGCCGTGGCAATAGGCCACGGGGCCCGTAGAACTCACAGGGCCTTCCTGCCCCTTTCAATGAACCCACGACATTCCAGGTCGGCCCAAAGCCTCCCGGGAGAGTCTGCTGCGGGTTGCGGCGGTGTCTCCTTTGAGGTGCCCTGCAATTCCATTTAATCGTCCTTCATCGCTCACCCAAAGACTGAAGCGACTAATATCCATAACCCTTAACACATGGATTTTAGCTTGCATCAATTAACCTACATAAAAATTACATCAATATCAGCAGCTTTTGAGGAATCAACGACCCACATTCAAGGCAACCCATATGCTCGACCCCATTTCCCGGGGTCGAGGGAGATGTAGACCCTGTCGTCCCTTTCCCCCTTATCCTTCGTCCTTTCCGCTCGTGTTCCTTCCCACATGCCGTCCTTCTCCCCATCGTCCGCGCAATCCTGGTGTCCAGCTGTGTTTCCCCGTGTACACCTCATTCCTTGCCGTGCCGTGCCCCCTCCGGCCATCTCCTTGCCCTGCTATATTTAACCCTCCCGACCCAGATACTGTGCTTCCCTGGGAGCAACTCCCCCCAGCCAATGTACACGTCAGGCGGCAGCTGTTGGACACGTTGACCAGCTCGCCACCTCACCACTCATATTGGGAGGTGGGGGCCGTGCATGCGCATTGCATACATAATGTTTTCCATGGTCGAGCGAGTGTGCAAATGTGTGTGGCTGTGTGTGTGGCTGTGTGTGTGTGCGTGTGAGAGCTGTCGTGCAATCCGTAGCGAAGAAGGTCAAATGGACGTGAAGCTGTCGCAAAAAGATGACTTCATCGCGATGGTGATGTTGATTCTTCCTGTCAATCGCCACCACTGCTAGTAACCGCCGCTAACTTGGCCTTACTCCGGGTGCGAGAGTCCTTGCGTGCCTCAATCCTTCTGCGTCCGCTGCTGCCACACTTGCACCCTTTGCCCGTTTGTTGCACTTCGATGTACTTCGAGCACCGCCTTCCTCCTGCCCGGCGCATTGCCTGTTTCAATCCTGATGGGGATCTCGATACTTGATGTTGATCCTGATCATTTCAACCATGGTTTGGATCTTGATTCGAATTCAAGGTGGGTGGCAACTGCAACTTCATGGTGGCTGCAGCGAGGCTAGGACTGCGAGTCGCCAGCGTGGGGCACATCGGTACGGACGTGTACGGCAACTTCATGGACAACGTTCTCAGGGTGAGCGGATGAACGAGCACCTGGCCGACCAATCGACCGAGGATTGGGTTTAGTCGATGCCGACACACATGCCGTCCGTTTCCAAAGCTCAACCACCTACGCCTATCCCACACGCCGCTTCCCACATCTACCACCACACCTACATGATCCGGTGCGGCTTTCTGTTCCGAATTCCCGCCTTCTCCTGGGTGCATTTGCGACAGAGCGAAGGCATCCAAGCAACCACCCGCATCGCTCCGTCGCCGCCATCGAGCAGCAGTACCACCAGCAGCAGTAATATCGACGGGGCGGCCCCCCCGATGGATTCGACGCTCGTCTGCTTTGTGCTGGTAGATTCTGCATCCCGACATGCGTTTTGCAGCCGTTACGATTTCGGGCCCTGGCCGTTGCTGGAGGGCATCCGGACACTCCCCGGCGAAGCCATGGAGGTTCTCCGCACTGCGCGCGCTGTGTTCACCAACGGCTTTATATTCGACGAGCTGCCGCTGGCGGCGGTGGAGACGGCTTGCAGCGACGCCATCGAGCACGGCGCCGCGATTTTCTTTGACCCTGGTGTGTCCTGTGTAGCCGTTTGGACCCATGTGGGCCTTACATGGAAATAAGGAATATATTCTTCAGACGGCACGCAAAGCGAGTTCAGGGCCGAGCCCCCGAGGCCTAAACGCACAGCGTGCCTCCCGCTGCGACGGCGTGCCTAGGGCAGGTCGTGGAGGTGGTGGCCGCGCTGCTGTTCCCGCCTTCTCTCCATGCATGCCGTTTCAGGTTTTTTTCATTCGCATATCTGATGCGCCCTCGTTTCTTAAGGCCTTTCTTGCGCGTCCTTGTCCGTTGCCCGGGTTGCCCTTCCCCTGGGTCGGATGATGATGCAGGGCCCCGTTGTCAGACCATGTTGGAGGGGCCGCGCAGGGCAGCTCTGAACCTGTTGCTGGACCTGAGCTCCGTGGTGCTCATGACGGAGGTGGGACGACGGGGGGATGAGCTGGGAGCTGGGAGGAGGATTTGGCTGAGGCTAGGATGACATAGCTAATTATGAAGAATTGACGGAGGATGGGAGGGATTTACTTATAGGGGGATTCGGTATGGAAGGAGTACGGAAAGGCTTGAAAGATTGCTGTTAGGAAGATGGAGCGGAGGAGCCGAGGGATAAGCGGAACGTGACGGGCGGTCTCTGAAGGGCATAGGGGAAGAAAAGTGTTGGAAAAGAGGACGACTCCACGAACGGGCGAGGAGAGGGCAGAGAACGAATATGAAGTGAGCATGACGAACCCTGCCTCCCTGTGTACCGGCCTGGAGATATTCGGCGACTTGACTCAAGACGCTTGCATTTCTCTTCAACGAGTACTGCGTAATAGGTTAATCGTGCGGAAATTTTCAACAGTTGAGTTACTGTTTACAAGTCGTGGGCATGATTTGAGCAGGGTTTAAGTAAGGGGGAAGTAGTGATTGTAAGACATAACAGAAGACATGCTTGTGGCCGCAGGAGGAGGCTCGTGTGGTTACGGGTCTGGATGACCCGCAGGCGGCCGCCGAGTGGGTTCTGGCTAGGCCTGGCGCCCGGGCGCAGTGGGTGGTGATTAAGATGGGCAGCCAGGGGGCGTTGTTGTGCGAACGCAACCGTAGCAACAACGGCAGCAGCAGGAGCAGCGGCGGTGGCGCCGCCAACGGACAAGGGAACGGCCGTGGCCACGGCTGTGATTACACTGGCGCAGCCAGTTCAGCCGAGACGACGACTTCACCGGCAGCGACGGCAAGAGTTACGCGCCTGGGGGCTGTCAAGGTGAGGCCGTGGCGTGAAGAATGTTATTGTTTGCATGAACATGAAGTTGACGTTGGAAGACCAGGAGCTCGGTTATTGTGTTTCTGTATTTGCTGTTTTCGATTGTGTATATAAAGGTAATTTTAAGGTCGGAAGCATTTTGTGGAAGCTCATGAGGAGGGGAGGGGATTTAGGGAGATGTGTTCCGCACTGCTCGGCTCCCTAGACTCCGCAAGACACTCTTAAGCCAGGATAGTCCACAATGTCGCGTCCGGTGTGCTCACGGTGCTACGGCTGCTTCTTTTAACGCCTCCGACTCTCCAACCCCTACTTGCCATTCGTCCTCAGGTAGAGGTGGTCGACACTGTTGGATGCGGCGATAGCTTTGCCGCCGCCGTCGTTATGGGCTACATCTCCGGCTGGCCTGCAGATGTGACGTTGGCACTAGCTAATGCCGTCGGCGGGGCGACGGCCACGGGCCGCGGCGCGGGCCGCAACGTTGCGCAATTGGAACGAGTCCTGGCGCTGCTGGCGGAGGGAGCGGCGGGGGCTGCGGATACAGCAGCCTGCGGACCGGAAGCGGCAGGTCGTCAACGAGTTGCCTTTGCCAGGGCACGCGCGCTGCTGCTGCAGTCTTTGGAGTCGCGGCGGCCGGAGCAGGGGAATGAGCAACAGGGGGGCCGGGAAGAGGGCCGCCGGCAGGAACAGCTTAGCGCAGCTGCATGAACGGAAGGGGTTTTTCGTTTTCGTTTGTGTACCTGCCTTTGCGACTGCGCGGTTGGGCTGCAAGCTTGATGATGAGCTTCATAGACAGAGCCGCTGACGGCAGTAGCAGGGCAGTATGCACTGTAGAACATCAATTGAAATTTCTGAGCCAGGACAGACCTTAATAGAAGGGTAGGTGTAGGGCATGTAGCATATATATTTAATTGGATGTATAGGTGTCAGGTGGTCGTAACACATATTAATTGACGTGGATGTATGGGTGTTAGGTGGTCGTGGAGATAATGGGATGTCTGTAGCAGCTACATCTGTAGAATGTCGAATGCCAGGGATCTTAGCAATTCCACCGCATGTGGTTTAAGATTTGTGCTGCTTGTGTGTGTTTGTGTGTGTATCTATGCCTGTGTCTGTGTCAGTGTGTGTATGTTATATATGGATCCGGGCCTGACGCTGGCCACAGGGCCAGTTAACGGTACACCAACAGGGAATGATCGCCGAACCATTTCATTGGAGGTGTGTTTTTATGTTCTGTTCTCTGTATCTGTGCATCTGTGTGTATGACTATGTGCGAACCTTTCTGTGTGTGATCAAGTGTCTGATCGGGTCAGGGAATTAAGTCTCGCCCTACGTTTCACCGGTTCGATAAGTCTCCTCCAGGGGAGGCAGGAGGCTTATATGTTTATGTCTGTCTGTTACCCATGGTGTAACGAACATATAGAAGCCAGGGATGTAATAGTCACATGCTGGTATATAGTACAGTAAAGCTCATTGCATGGGCTTGTGAGCAGTTAACTTTAAAACTTATGACATGATTATTCGTGAACTTTCCAAATTTATAGGCGTGTTAATAATTCTTTCAATGACAAGGAATGATTGGACTTGCACGTCTTCGTTTTCATGTTGATGAGATTTCACGTGACAACATAGTATTTTTCCACTTTTACGTCCCTGCAGCACACACACCCGGTGCAGTCTGGCATCGATAGCAAGAAACACCCTGACACGGCTGTTAGTATATGTACAGTTAGAATGTAAAAACAAAACCGATTAATCTTCCAACCTCGTTTTCATCTCTCAAAATAATGGAGTTATACCTGGGTAGAATCCTAAAAACAGCGAAAGACTATCCCTTGCCTGTACAAGCAAAGTGGCCTCATGTCAGCAGGGATAGATAGGACAGCACAAATTTCGCTCAACTATATAACAAGTGCAGTTGTCAATAGGTGAGGCGTATAGTCACCGTCAAGATTCGAAAGGACATATACTGGCAGCACTACAAGCCGTGCCAGAGCATGACGCCCGCGAAAAGCAAGTCGTTGCAGGTTACTCCCAGCGAAAAACCTGGGTTCCATCCAACAAAAAACAAATTTGCCGCCCGCTATGCCGCAATTGCGGCCTCTGGCCACAGATGCCATATACCTGCTTGCATTTCGAGACCAAGGCTCTTAGGACATCACAGCCGCATATCCATCACACCCTGCTCGTGGTGGGAAAGAACACTGCAACATTCCTGCGTTCCCCTTCAATGCAGCAATCTGCGCGCAACCATGATCTGTGCCTGCTCCTCATGCGCCGCTGTCCCCTTGCTTGCAGCCTGCAGCGACGACGCTTCCGCCATGTCGGGGTCGTTCTTGTCCCGGATGCCCCACATAGAGCCGTGCAGCCTGCCGCTGTCCACATCCTTCTCCATGGTCCACTCGGGATCAGCATACCTTGACAGTGCCAGCAAGGGATGCAGAATGCACAACAAACAAACGCGGCAACAAACGAAGGGAAAGATGGGCGGACGAGCAGCAATTAAGGAATAAAAACTTCTCCCGTCCGGAAAGATAGTTAACGACCTGTTACATAACGGCCTGGGCAGGGTTACGGTAGCCGGGCTCATGCTAGCCATTGCTCCCGTTCTGCTCGATAACACAGTCCTGTACCTGATGCGAGCTGTACGTATGGGATTATGGAACAAATTGGTAAGATGACAGCGAGGATGTGCAGCGAGGCCAAATATCTATCGGAAGTTCTGGAGAAGGTTCTCCATTTCATCAGGTGCTCCACCGCTTCAAGTAACACCTTGAGAAGGTTAACATCTAATCAAGACTTAACGATCTACACCGCCTCGGCGGGAGAAAGGGGGGCTATTGGGAAGCCCTGTGTAAGAGCTGATTGCCAGCTGTCTAAAGAGCTGATTGTCAGACCCAGTGGCGAATGATTCCATCAACCGCCCGATAGAACAGCACTTTCTCAGCAGCAAAGTACATTCATCAGAGCCTCAGTACTAACCAGCAGTCGCCACTCTCAATCTGAAGCGCGTTGACTCCCCGCTCCACCCGGAAGAAGCCCATCTCGCCCCAGTACGTGCCCCTGGGGTAGGCAGGTAGGTAAGTGGACGAGCACACCGCGGTGGGGAGAAGATCAGGCGGGGCAGGAAGTTCAAACGAGGGAAACGACGACGCGGGGAAGCAATGGAAAGGCCTCCGCAGCCCTAGTATAGCGACGACGCAGCGCAAGTAGGCTGATACCTCTCTAGGTACTGTTACTTCTACAGTAACAGTACTTTTACAGGGGAAATGTCATGTCGCCCAAGGCCGTGACAAAGCATGAGCGCATGACTTTATTTTAGCGGTGAGGGTGGCCCTGACAACGCAGCGCGACCATACCAGCTGTTCCGCACAACCCAGTACTTGACACCGTCCTCGACGCCCCAGCCAACCACCTCCACGTCTGAGGAGATGAATACAAGGGAGTTACAATCAAGAAGTTACATGCGGCACGGGCAGAAGGTCGCACACGGGGGAATATAAAGTCAGGCATGGAAGGAGGGCGCAAGGCAGCGCGCCCTTCCACAGCAGTAGCGGCTGGTGCAGCCCTTGTAACCTGAGCTCCTGAAAACCCTCATTCTGAAGCTATCGAGCAAAAGATAAGGGCTTTGCCCCGTGAACGCCAACTAAACAAGTAATAACCACCATCCTAACGTCTTTCCGGTACCACTTAATTTCAAAAAAATATAAATTGATTTAGGAGACGATTGAGAAAGACGCGAACACCGACCCCGACCTCACTCAAGCCTTCACACCCATCCGCGAAAGAAAGCTCTAGGACCTTAAACGCACTCCTTGAAACGCACACACAAAAGTGCAATTCGCCCACAGCGCACCGTGATCCAGCTCCGTGTCCCCCGAGGTATCCTTATAGATGCCGCCCTTGTAGTGCCAGGTGAAGTCGTCAGGACAGGCGATGCCGCAAGTGATGGGGCCACGGTGGTAGATCTCCGACATCATGGCCTGAACAGGACATACACGACGCCATGGGCAGGTGAGCATGCTTAAGTAGGCAAGCAGGTGTGCGTTGAGCAGAAAGTTGGGGGCTCAGAAGAAAAAGGTGGTGGTCACGCAAGCGGGGCCAAAACCTCCCGTGGTGTTCGGGGCGGTCTCCGGCCCAGGCAGCCGGACCGCTGGAAAGGTGGGTGTGTATGGAAAGGCGGCTCTATACATCCTTATTTTTACTCGTACTTTTTTAAAGACTGATAAGGATGCATAGAGGAGAGAGAGAGCAGTATGGCGGAGATTGGGAAATGGCGGCGGCGGCACCACCAATTCTTTTTATACATATACTTCCTAGGAGGATCAATCAATTCGCTGTGAGCTTCCGGCAGCTGGCTGCCCCCCATACGAAACGCAACGTAAAGCTGGCCAGCAAGCAAATGCATGGAAGGTTCAAGATGCAACAATACTAACAGATTAATTAAAGTGCCATCAAAGCCTCGACTCGACTCACTCGACCCACTCACGTGTTGAAGTGCACAGCAGCTCCTTCCGTGCTCCCTCCCCAACACACAACCGCTACTCCCCCCCGCACACCTCCACAGATTTGTCCAAGTTGCCCCAGGCATTCAGGTAGTACTTCACGGGTCGCTCGATGGGCCAGCACGTGTCCACTCCGTTGATGGGCATGCAGTTGAGGCACTGCCCCTCCACCGGGCAGTGGCTCACTCCGGGGAACTTGGTGTGGTCGGTGGCGTTGTAGGTCATGCAGCCCTCGTCAGGTAGGCCAAACCTGAGGTGGGTGGCGGCATTGGCGGCGGCGGGAATGATGTCGCCGTGGTATCAGGACCCCGTGGCGGACAGGACCATCAAGGTGACGACCGTAGCGGTGACGGTGGTGGTGGTGGTGGTGGTGGCCCGGGGCGGGTACGGGTACATCGGCAAAGTGCTTGCGTGGGAAAGATAGGAGGTCGTGTTATCCTAGAGTTGACGCCTTACTGGGTACTTACTCAGCCATGTAAGAGAAGACGTCCACAGTGTCGCCGCCATCGCAACCGTGGCCATAGCCTTCAAATGCGGCGCAGTTGAGGAGGGTCTGGCGGGACAGCATCACATCGGGGCTTTTGGCCCTCTTCTTGATTTTGAGCCTGAAGAGCGCAGCGGGTGGCAGGGAGTGGGTGGTAGGGAGGACGATGTGGGCTACACTTGGATGCTGGAAATCGTTGACGGTTGAGGTATCAGTCGGGACGGGAGAACGGCGGCAAGCAAGGTTACGCACAAGCATGCGAGAAATGACGGCCTCGTACTCGTGGTGACGCGATTCGGCATAGCGGTTGGTGATTAACTAGTGAGGTTAAAGGCAAGGAAAACAGACGTACTAAGGAGGTAGATGGCTAAGCCTTGGACCTCACCTACCCAGCATTTTAGCATGAAACGAAATATACAGCTTGTATAGCAAAAATGATGACATGCATTTAAGATCGTGTATGACCGAAGATCACAAAAGCGCCGTTCCGGAAACGCCGTTCCGTTTTGGTTGGCAGGGGCCACGACGTCTCACGCGCGAATCTCTATTCACATGAGGTTGATCTAATCTAATATATTGTTGCATTGTTCGGACATGGCTATTCCTACGGCTTGCAAGGCTCAGGTATAAGGAACGCACCTGTCCTGAATCATGGAGAGTGAACCATGCACCCAGCAGCCGCCGCAATAATATGGGATGTGTTGGTTCCAATTTGCTGTGCAGTAGTTAGTTCCGTCTAAGTTGCACCAGTTGAAGTTCTTGGGGAGGTCGTGCTCACGCATAAGTGGTGCAGGCACATGGTTGCGGAAACGACGCTCCTGCGCAATTGGCTGCTTCAGGGCTTTATTGCGATACCCATGGGCATCTACAGATGTGGCCGCGAGCAATAGCACCAGAAGCAACGTAAGCACCCCCGAGACAGCTGCCCGATACGCCGAAGGCACCATCGTGCCAGTCAGTAACTACAAGCTACCGATTAGAAGTTAAATTGTCACGAGATCGCATGGCAATATCTTCCGCAAACTTAATATGCTCAGGTTAGGATTATGTAGGGCCCCCCTAACGGTCCTCACTGCATGCATGCGCCACGATCGCACATGGCAGCTGCATGCGAACATAAGATGCCAATTTATTTTCTTAATTAAGATAACAGTGCTATAATTTTAGGAGCATCCGTCTTTTATGTCGGCATGTTTACGTCACAACTCCGTCACGAACCCGACGTAGCGGTGCCCACCGCAACTGATTTGCTCATCAGCATTCCCCCATCCTCCTGTGCGAAATGAGGCGGTAAAAACTGTTATCCGCATTGGCACCTTTCTCATGTATGGCCACAGCTACCTGCCCCCTACGGTGGCTTTAGTGTTGTAACTGTATGATGTTTTTGCAGCTGTTTGTTTGCCCGTACGTACTTGCCAAAGGGGTATGGCGTGGTTGCCTTTGGGACATGCCCAATGCTGAAGGTGTTAGGGCTGGGCCGGAAGGTACTTGCCAAAAAGCAACCACTTGCCTTTGGAACGTACCCGGCGTTCATGTACAGGATAATGGTTAGGTTGGGGGCTGGTACATACAAAAAATCCTGTCGCATGCCGTTTTCCTTCTCTCTGTGCTTTTGGGCGTGTATGAGGATTGATGTATAATGCGACGCACCCGGCAAGGCCTGTTGAGCTGTTGTGAACTGCACTTGGCCGCATCTGTGCGTGATGGTCTCGCATCCGGGGGTGGCAAGCAAGGAAACCCAAAGAGCGTGAAAGCTTTGGGCCATGTCGAAATTGGACATCGGAGGGTAACGTATGACAATGCTGCGAAGGCCAAAGTTTATCGAGTAAAAGATCGGATGTGTTGAAGAGTGATCAACAAAATACTCTTCATGGATGAAGGGTATTTTCAGTGTTGTCGCAAAGGGTCCCGAACTGGTATGGAGACACATGGAGACCTGTTGAGCATCACAGTGGAGGATAGATGCTTAGCGACACACAAAAGTCTTACAGTACCAGGGGCACAACGAAACCCTACGTTTTCTGGGGCACGACGTATGGAAAGAGGCCCCGCAAGGGCTACACGAAGTAGGCGAACGAGTGGAATGGCTGATGAACAGGCCATTGCCAGCTGTGGTGTTAAGAGTTCAAGGACCGATTGGTGAGTAGTTGGAAGCATACGCGTCTAGATGTCCAGCCAAACGGGTACCCGTCAGATGGCAAGCAACTAGGAATTCACATGGCGAAGTATAAGCATCGGATGGGTCTGGCGGCCGAGCAAGCGGGCAGGAAGGAGGTGCTCCCGCATATCACAATGTTTGTCCCGCGTTCAGTGAATCGCAAGCTTATGCAGTTTAGGCTTTGCTGTTGGGCGTTGGCGGCTAACAGAGCGCGTAAGGGACGGCGTTATATACCTAGGGAGGAGCGAGTATGCCGAACTTTACACGGGGGGCCCCCCGTGTATGGGCCCCCCCCTGCTGCGGCACTGATAGCAATATCGAGGATGAGAAGCACATTTTTCTGGACTGTCCGGTGTACGACAGAATCAGACCTGATATGGATTTCCCACGCTTCGAAGGGGAGGACGCTATGAAGTGGGAACCTGAACGCCTGGCTAGGATGCTAGAACGTATATGGTCCCACCGCAACTCTATCGTTCATTAGGTCGTGAAAATGCTTTATCACTTGCTTTGTTTGAAGTGCGAGGTAGGATGTTGTTTATAGGCGATCTGGCAGCCCTTGAGCCCTCGGCTCGTATTAGGGCGGTTTGCAGGTACCCACGACCATGTAACACACACACGTGCGCGTGAAACTATCACAGACTCTCTATCCTCAATTTGCATGCAACCCTGCTAGTAGTTTCAATCCATCCGGCCTTTTCTTATGCATGAAAAAGTCGCGCCGTGCTGCACTGTGCCTGCATGAAGATACCATACCGAAATCGCAACACTGCCGCTTTTTCAACCTGAGAGCCTAAAATAATACAGATTCTGCACCAGGGTCACGATAAAAGATTGGACGGTCTTTGCGTTTGGGACACAAATTTCTCTGTTGGGGAATGGGCAGAGTGCAGCGGATATCCAAACACATGATTGAATTGGATCACCATGTAGTGAATATACGTAATATAATGTCGGATAGTTGCACAAATAGGTCAGAAATGCGCCGGCCCGCACCCCTGCCGTACACCTGAGTTTTGGTGGCTGCAGTTGTAGTTGAACAGGTTCGCATTACGGTCTTACAGTGACCTTGCTGAGACCTCCGATTTGTACCCTAAGACTTAGGTAAAATGCAGTCGACGGTCCTGCGTACACCGGCGTTCAGCGGCGTTCGGCCTGCTGTGTGCAGCAGGCGCGGCGCTGTCTCTGTGCACGCAGTTCAGCAGGTCAAGGGCGTTGTGGTGAGCACCAAGATGAACAAGACTGTCATTGTGGAAGCGGAGCGCCTAGCTACCGACCCCGTGTACTTTAAGCGCAAGAAGGTCACCAAGCGCTACAATGCGCACGATGAGTCTGGCACTCTTAACGTTGGGGACTTTGTTCGTCTGGATGGTACTCGGCCATTGAGCAAGACGAAGCGCTTTGTTGTGGCGGAGGTGCTCCGTAAGGCGGATTGAGCAATACTCCCAAAGACAACGCGCTGGAGCTAGCCGGAGGAGACGATGTTGGAGGAAACGATGTTCAATTTGACATTTCGACAGCTTGGAGGGACGTGGCGTTGAGGTCGGACAGAGCGGATGCAATCTTGCGGCGAAATTTTGTGCGTTTACCAGCCTTCGCACTGTGGAGTTTGCAAATCGGCTGTCCATACTGGCGTATGAGGTGCTGGTACTGGTCAATTCTGTGAGGCAGGGAACTGACACGAAGCTTGCGAGCCGTGTTACATGGCGGCCCAAGTGCTGGGCCGACGATACGTGTGTGTTTGTGTAACCCATGAAACAGGTTCCTCGAATCCACTTCTCCCATCGTTCACTGAACCTTGCACTTGTCAAGCTCGCTCGACAGCTCCTCTAGCGCGGGGTGCTGCTCCGCGGCTTCCCCTCCCGCTTCAGCGCCAGCCAGGATAGCGTTAATGTCGCGACCAGCACCCCCCGTCATCTCTTCCACGATGTCACCCGGCGGATCCCCGTAGGTTTGCATCTGCGGACAATAGAAAACATGTATATAATAACATGGATTATCGGGTGCCTATCATCAAAAGGGGCGCTAGAGCACCGTTCGGCAAAAGAGCACGTTATCCGCATGGTCAAACGACGATGCGGATAACATGCTCTTTTGCCGAAAGGTGCCCTAGCGGCCTGCAACGATTAAAGTAGACACCGAAACGCGGTAATGCCGGAAGGGCACGGGAGGAAGAGGGTATATGGCTACAGAGCCACATGCAATGTGGAGTGCAGGCAGAGCGTAGTGGGGAAGAGAGAGGCCGGGTTTGGCGCATTTGGCTGCGTGCTTTGCGGCCTACAACACCAGCAAAACGCCATGCACGACATGCAGTAACCACCGCAGCCATGCATGATCAGCAGTTTGAGAACCATGGCAATGAAAATCCTTGCGCCCATAGGATGCCTGTCCTCCATGTGCGTCCGAACCAGCTCTTCTCCTCCTCCCCTTCCGGTCCCCCTCCGGCTGCTCACCTCCTGGATCAAATCCATCAGCTTGGCGAAGTCGGATGGCGACGTCTCGTAGTGCGCACACACTCGTTGCACCGACTCGTACTGCGCCACGTAGCGCCGGTAGTCCTCGGCCGGAAGCATACCTTGGTGGGCCTCCAGCCACGGCGGGTAGCGGTCGCGAATTTCCTAAAGCAGGTGCGTAGCACAGAGACATATGATGCATAATTCGGTAACCAGTAGGTCATCAAAGGTAACGGTCTTTTGATACTGTATTGAAGTGCAAGGAGCCTGATGAGGCACAGACAGCTGTGCACGGCAGCTGCACAAGCGGCCATGTGCCCGCCCAATGCCCACGATGTGCGAATAACAAGAAGCCATGCGCCGACTGGTGCAAAGCAGCCCAAGCGTGGGTACAGCGACGCGCGAAGACTACGCCGTCGCTCGTCTGTGTACGCCAGAACGACAGCTTGCAACGTTCCTCACGCCAAGATTCCGTTTCACCCTCCGAGATAAATAATATGATCGAGATGATGATGTGAGTCGTCGTGGGGCCTTTTTGGATGAGGAAGCACCTGCCGTCTGCACCACCTGCCAACCCGCATAAGGTCCTCTGCGCAGCCCCTTGTGGAGCTGCACACACGTAAGATGAGCAGTACCACGCAAGACAACTCCGTGAGCTTTGGGTCAGTTGTCCTCACCCAACCCCGCGAGGCGCTTCAACATTTGAGGGTCTTTGCGAAAACTAGTGCCAAACAACCCGCCCCAACCCCTTTCCATGCCGCCACCACGCACACCTTCCCGCCACGCGGCGCATCCCGCTGCGCATCCTGGCGTCCCGACAGCTTACCCACGACCTCAGATCAAGAGTATCGCTTACCAAAACCATTGCTTTATGCAACTCATCGATAATCAACTTTCTCGGTATGAATGCAATTAAGGTTATAGCCAGGGCAAAGTGCACTAGGCACGCGAGCCACACATCACCTCTCCCAATCCTGACCTCCTCCCCGTCTTTGCCTCTCCTGCCCCTCCCTGCCCGGTCTTCCTGGCGTTCGGGAAACCTCGGGTCTCACGTGTCTTCTCCTTACTCTCCAACCCTAGCCGCACCTTCAGCGGTCCATACAACACGTCCTTGCTTAGCAGGTGCTGCATGATGTAGTCGACCATCACGCCGACCCCTGCCGGCGCTGCTCCCTCGCCGTCACCGCCACCACCACCGGGCAATCCCAGCCCGCCAAGCTCCCGGAGCATTGACGCCAGCCCGCCGCCGCCGGCACCGCCGCCTGAACCTATGCCAAAGGGCAGGCCCCCCGTGCCGCCCCCGGCTGCCCTGGTCCCCGCGCCGCCTTCTACATGACCTCGCGTCTTCTTGGCCTGCTGAGACACCGTCCTGCGTGTCTGGTGGGCAAGTCCCGCCAGGCGCGACGAGGCCAGCGCGTCGTCATCATCGTCGTCCGCCGCCATGGCGGAGTTCGAAGGTGGCCCGGCACCGGGGGCCCCGCCGTGGCCCACTGCTGGTCCGGCCGGTCGGGCCTCTGTCCCGGCTGCAAGCCCCTGCATGCCCATCATTTGCTGCAGCATCGCCGCGAACTCCGGAGGCGGCGGTGGCGGCGCGCCGTCGTCGCCGCCGCCGGGGGCGCCGCCATCTGGCGGCACGAGACCGCCCAGTATACGGCCAAAGAGCTGCGCGAAGGGGTCATCCTCGCCTAATTCTGCGCCGGGCGGGGCGGGCCCTGAAACCAAACCAGGATGTGCGGTCGCGTCGCTCCCGAGGCTCCGAAGAGGACCGCCACCACCGCTGCCGCTGCTGCCAGCGGCGGCACCGGCGGACGCCATGAGGTCGGCCAAGCAAGCTGTCAAGGAATCGGCGTCTTGCGGCTCCGATTTTTCGCCTGTGGCAAAAATTTAATTATTTTTATTCTCACAGGGACCCAGATATGCAGGAGAATGAGAATGAGAATTTCAGTAATCTCTAAACTACCTCGCAAAGCGAGAGTGAGGCCAACCATGCTACGTAACCACCTGGGATAGCTGCCCGATCTTAGCGGATTGCCATAAGCCGCACAGCGTTATTGCGCGATGACATTCGCGAGTCAGATAAGGCATTGGAATTGTGACAACCGCTTCAACTGCCCCGAGGAATACCCACCCAAGCCAGCCTCTTGCAGGAGACTCATCAGGTCATCCGCAAGGCGCTGCGCTTCCGCCGGAAGTTTGCGTGTAGGCTTGGCCACTCCTGAAGCGCCTTCTTCATCACCAACATCGTCTCCTTGCTCGGCATTTTGGGGAAGAGAGGGGTGGGCTGCGGAGTCCGCGGTACCGCCGACGGTTTTTTTTAACCGTCGACCGAGTAAATCGGACCCTCCGAGACCCAGCCCGAGACCTTTCGGGGCAGGTTTGAGTCCCACTGTTGAAGCTGGAGGCTTATTTGTGGGCTGGGCATCGAGGAATGCTTGGGCCGAGGTAGCAGTCGCAGGACTGTTGGGGTTTACATAACGGCGTGGTGTCAGGAAAGGGGCTCTAGCGCGGTAAACCGTCGCATGTGCACCCACCTTGTGCCGCTTTTGTCCTGCTGCTGTTCTATTGCTGAAGTAGCACCTTGTTGTGGCTCCTCAAAATCGGCAAGCGCCTCTGCAAGTACAGTGCCGGAACATTGCCGGCAACGTTGCTCCTGTGCCGATGATGACAAGAAAGTTCATCCTTCCAGCTGCTAACCTTGAAGAAGGTCTTCTAGGTTGCTTGACGCCATTGCTTCAGAGACAACACCTGCGCGACGATGCTCTGGCGATGCCTAGCGATTATCGCGCTAGCTGCTATGTAACCGGTGTGGGTGCCTTGTGTGTTGTGTAATCCATTATGGAAGAATGGCAATAGGAATCCTTGTGTGCTTGGTGGACAAAACTGGCTGGATGACAAATGAATGCTGTACAGCAGTTTGCGCTGGCAAACTTCCAGCGGCTTAGGCCAGCGGGTGCAAAAGCGCGATTCCAGTAGCTCGAACCGTAATACGCATGAAGCTTAACATGGTACACGCTAATTTGATGCGCTTAATTTAGGCTGCATGCAACCCTGCAGCCTTGCAACGCTGTAACACCATGGCGCCCAAGGCCATGAGGGAGCCGTGGGGGCCATGTATTGCGGTTTGAAGGTGCACATGGGTGGCATGGCGATGACCGGGGGTGCCCAGGAAACAACTTAGGCTTGGCATTACCTACAGACTGCTGCAGCACATTTACACCACATTTTCCGTGCGCATTTCGCGTTCGCTGACTGCAGCACCGAAACTTGGCTGGCTGATCAATCCCGTCGATAATGAACGTGAATATTGTCGGACACCGGTGCACGAGGGGACGGGGGGAGTTCCTGAAAGCACTTAGCCACGAAGAGCCTGGGGTAGAAGCACCGTCAGGTAGGGTAGAATGGGAGCCTTTTGCGTCAGATTGTTCGTGGATCCCGATTCGCTTGAAGATATGGTCAGGTAACAGCTCTGAACTGCTACTCGGCTAGGGGCTGAATTCTTCCTTTACCCGTTTTGTGGTCCTGGTTGTATTCAAAGGCGAGCTGTTGGTTAACATGTAGAACGTGGGCAGTTTACGCTTGGGGAATAGCTTAAAGCGCCATGCACCATGCGCGACGGAAGCGCCAAGATTCTCCACAGCTTGCCCCGGGTCGTACCAGGCTCCGCAAGGAGCAGAGGTCCCCAACCAATGACGCAGTGGTCATAAGCTTCCTTCCAAAGAGTGAGCGGCGCATGATGTGGACTAATTTTGGTAACATTTTATCAAGGCACAAGCAGCAGGAAAGAAACAGGACTAGGTCCTTACACCGCGGGTTTAGCGGAGCATGGCTCCCCGGAGGGATGAAGCCTGGACCAGGTTGAGACGTGCAGTAAAACGACGCATTGTGATCTCGCTCCGCATTGTGACCTCGCTTTAATCTTGCAACTTAGGATATGACTCTTGACACCCTGACGCTTTGGACAGGGACATGCGGTCCGGCAATTGCCACATTCCGTGGCAAAATCCTCCCTATAAATGTCAAGCTTATCATGAGAGCAAACGTTCTTGTGCTTTGGGAGGGGCCTGATAGTGGAAAAGCGTTTTGATGGCGCTAGAACCTCCGCGTCAATCGGGGTCGCCAAACATGGAGGCAATACGAGCTTTATAACAGTGAAGCCTACTTCCATATGGTCCCTAACATCCACAAGCAAGTATTGCAATCCGCATTAGCTCAGATAGTGCAACCTGTACAGTTGTTGTACAAAGCGTCGTGGCACCTTTTATGGGACGGTGTGACGCAACCATGCATCGGCCCAATTTACGCTAAGTAACCTCTCCCTCTTATCTATGGCTCCGGTTCTAATAAGATGCTTCTGCTATCCTGGACAGATATAGCTGTCTTTTGGAAGAATTGAAGCCTAAGTAAGTACTATATTTGATTTAGGATAATAAATAGGTGACCATTTTATCGGTCGCTTGACAGTCGACAGACGTTCACGGTCAACGAGGAACGCAGCGACGCTTTCCTCGGTCACATTTCGCGATGGGCTACAAGAGCATTAGCAGCACAATAGCAGCCAACGTGGAGAGTGGTTTGTCAGATTCTTCGAGCGATGATTTTTCTCCACCCAAGTTTCAAGCGAAGCTGCCTCTCCCCCCAGCGAAGCTGCAGCCCAGCGACAGTTCCATGTTCGACTTGACAATTCCTTTCAGTCATGCCACATCTCTCGTGCGCCGAATTTTCAGCGAGGCACTCCTGCTCCTGCGTCTCGCCGTTCGTCTGTGGACATACCTTGGCGTCGGTGAGATAGACAGCATATGATGTTGTGCTGCATAACAGTGCATTTACCGCGAGTCAAGTCGATCCAGCAATCCTGGGGCTGAACGATATGTGTCCTGCTTGCGGAGCACCAGTCGCATTGCTACCCTGGCTCCTCGGCTTGCGACGTTCAGCGTCGGACTCCTCATTTTCATTATCCCATGTGGCTGCAAGTACTGCTATCGCCTGCTCACATTTCTTTGCTACCTGCCACCCCCCGAACCGTTGAGGTCGCAGCGCCCAACCTGCGCACGTCACGCCCAGTGATAGCACCGGCGCCCGTCCGATCCTTTCTGGCATTCACCACTTTATCCACTTTTCCTTTGCTGTGCATATGCCGCGGTCATTGTCGCTGCAGCTGGTTCTTGCAACGACGTCTATCAGACCGGAACTGCACCTTTCGCTTCCACTTATCGCTTGTGCCGGCGACCGTGGCCCTGTTTCGTAGGTTGGAAATGGTCGATCCAGCTGCTGCGCCTCGTGCTCTACGCAATGCTGCTCTTGCCGGGCTTCCTCCAGGTTTGTGTAGATGCGGTGCTTATTCAGGCCACGCGTGCGTATGTGTGCTTTATGAAGCTGCGCCGGAACGATTGAGCAAATGTCGATGCTATGGAGCAGAGGAGGTCCGCGTGTTTGCCTATCTGCCTCTATCTGTTTGGCCTAGAGCAGCGCTTCATATCAGTGGGCTCCTGCGCTATTATCAACATATGTGCTTTGCTGTGTGACCCAGATCGACCGGCTCCTCAGTCTCCTCTAGGGCATCCTTTCATCGCCTGCCCAGCTCGCCGCTCGTTTGCTGCCCCGTACATGACGAGAATCGGCTCTCTTCTGCATTAATGAGCTCTCCACCCTCGCATGCAAAGCGTCTGACCCAGATCGAGGGGTTTGACAGTTGAGCCAGAAGCGACCCAGAACGAGTGAAATGATGGAGTAAAGCTGGCTAGCCGCATCCCAAATCTGATGACACCTGCCCCTGCTTCGTGTCCTGCCCTTTCTGTAATGTCACGCTGTCCCATTGTGCCGCACAACACCCTTTATGGCTGCAGATGATTGTGTTCTACGTCTTTAGCCCACGAGTACGGCGCAGCGTTGTGTACGGGCCGAAGGTGCGCGGTTTTAAAGGAGGGCGAGCCGACCGATGAAGCTGATGCAGGCTAGCAATGCTACTGCTGCACCGTCTTGTGCTTGTTCGAAAACTGGATTTATATCCAAGGGGTGTTGGTGGATGTTAAACCAAGGGGTGTTGGTGGATGTTAAAATTAGAGGACTTGCACCATTCGTGGTGTTGCTGCGTGCTGTGTATAAACAGGCTTTCTCGTGGCGCCATGTGCATCGTGGTGCCCTGCTTTTCCTATGTTTGAGCTGGTCGTCCCCACCGAACCCCGATATGCACTGCAGCCGCGGCAACGGTTGGACCTGTATTTCCCGCCCCACCCTCATCCGCATGCCGCCTATCCCGTCGTCATTTACGTGACAGGTAAGGCCAGGTAGATATGAGTGGTGCCGATATGAACGATTAGGGCGAGGAAAGCCACGTGTGCTCTACGCGGAGGAGAGGACATGCGTCCCCTAAGCTAGTTTTCAGGGTGACAAGTCGTTGTCCACCGTGTGTGCCGTATGGCGACGCACAGCAGTCAAAGCATGCTCAAAGCCCGCGGCGCCGCTTCACTTGAGCTGTGTCCGCGCGTGTCGCTTCCTCAACGCACAGCCCGACACCTTTTGTGACTTGTGACAGGTGGCGCCTGGACCATTGGTTACAAGGCCTGGGGAGCGCTCCTTGCCCGGCGGCTGAGCGAGCAGGGCGTGTTGGTGGCATGTCTGGATTACCGCAACTTCCCACAGGTAGGGAGGGGAGGGAATGGGAGGGTGCCGAGGGGGGATGAAATGGAAAGGAGGGAAGAGTGGGTGCTGGGCAGGAAAAGCTATGGGAGGGTCAGGGTCTCTCCCTCCCATATTTCCAATCCCCGGAGCTCATTAAAGGGGAACGCGGGGCCGCGCTTGCAGGGTGACGCGCTGGACATGTTGGAGGATGTCAACACCGGCATCAGCTGGGTGCTATCCCGCATCCACCGATTCGGGGGGGACCCGGACAGCGTCACGTTGGTGGGCCAGTCGGCGGGCGGCCACCTGGCGGGGCTGGCGCTCATCAAGCAGGTGGGCAAGGGAGAAACAGGGGGGGGACATTCGGGGGTGGGTTTGCATGGAGAGGGTTGGAAATATGGTGGGCCTTGGCAATAAGGCCTCAATTGTGCGGCAACCGGGTAAAAAGGGTACGTAGCTTTGGCAGCCTAGAGTTTGCTATCCTCCTTAGCATCACCGAAGCCAGGGACCAGGGGCTCCCCACGAGCATATGCCCTCGCTCCTTCCTTCGATTGGTTGGCCTGTGCCCCTGACAACGTCTGCGCCTGTGCCCCGTCCTGTCGTTCCTTAACTGCCTTTCTTTGCTTGGGTCTGTGTGCTGAACAGGCCGAACAGGCCATGCGCGGCTACCCGGCCCTGGGCGCCTCACCAGCCTGGTCACCCGCCTGTCTCAAGGCCTTTGTAGGAGTCTCCGGTGCTTACGACCTGGCCGCGCTCGCGGAGCACCTGCACCGCCGTGGCCTTTACAGGAACGTGTTCGACCGCATCATGACTCTGTCTACGGACACGAACGACCCGAGCGTCACGGCAGCGGACAGGGGCTTTCGGTCGGACTGGCTCAACGGCAGCACCAATGGCGGTTTGTTGACTTGCGGACTGGACGGGCGTCTTGGTCTCAACGGACTTCGATCCTCGGGTTGCCGTCTGGCATCGCTGGGTCCTGAGGGGTATTGCTGCCAGATGGATCCAAAAATTTGCGGACAGGATGCCGTTGGCTCTGATGATGACTGTGGATGCAATGGAGGCTGCAATGGAGACTGCAACGGAGATTGCGACGGCAGTAACGGCAGCGGCGGCGCCACCCACGATGCAAGTGGCTGCAAAGGCGGCGCGCGCCCGGCATTTGAGGCGTTGTCGCCGCTGCAGGCCGCCCGTCGGCTGCCTCCGGGCGCCGCGGGCATGTTGCCGTACGTACTGTTGATCCACGGTACGGCAGACAAGACGGTGCCGGCGGAGGGCAGTGCGCAGCTGTGCGAGGCGCTGCAGGTGAGGGTTGTTTGTATGTATATATGTGTGTGGCGGAGGGAAAGAGAGGGGGGTCCTGCCGTGGTTTCGGAGGGTCATGTTTTGCCCGGGGCAACACGATGTGACTCAAAGAGGCAGCTGACATCGGAGGCCCCGCGATCTATCAGGTTGGGTTGGGTTAGTTGCTTCCCACCCCTCCCATTCTCTCGGGCTTTACCTCATTCGCCCCTACCTCCCCTCCCCTCCTCTCTCCCCTCTTTCCCCTTTCCCCCCCCCCTGCTTTCGCCCTCGTGCAGTCCTCTGGCGCCCCCAGCTGCCGCTGCCTGCTCATCCCCGGCAAGACCCACACAGCCTTCCTGTTGGAGGACCCCATGCGGGGGGGCAGGGACCTGCTCATGGACACAGTCCTGGGGGCGGTCAAAGGGAGCGGGGACTCGGAGAACCATGTCTATGGAACCCTCTGTCCGGGTTTCTTGTGCGACATGGCGGGCTGGGTGTGCCCGTTTTGATGAGTTACTGGTATGCTCCGGCAATGTACCGTAACGCGCTCCAGGGGCGGGGACCCTTGGCCAACCGACCTAGTTTAGCTTGGGCCCCTGCCAGCCGTGCAGCGATGTTGAAGGGAGCAGTGGGAGAGAGTCCACGCAGTGGGGCGCTTTCCTGGTGTAGTGCAGCTGATGAACTGCGTTGTTGCGTTGTGTGCAGTAGGCGTATTAGGGAGAGGCGATAACTGCACCTTTTCGCCCCGCTTTCCTGCCTCCCTGCCTTTGACTAGAGCGTATTTTTGAGGTTGCTCGTGTGTATGTTATTTGAGAGTTGTCACGTGTGTGTGCGTATCGCGCGTGAGTGTGTTGCTTTTTTCTTTCTCCAATCTTTCCTGTGATGCTGTTGTGAATGGACGTAGCTGTGAGAGCGCTCGATGCCGCAATGCGCGGGGCGGGGCTCTCCTTACCGTATTTTTCCAATGTGGAGCTCAGCTTTTCCGGCGTGATAACTAGGGTATGAAATGCAGAGTCTTAAAAGCAGTACACGGTGTGTGTGTCTATACTGGGTCGCACGTAAGTTAGTAAGCTCCTGTTGGTGCTTCATGGTGCTGCAATGCATAAAGCAAGAGCATGGAGAGGACCTGAATTGCAGGAGCTGATGAGCCTCTTCAGTCTTCTGTCCTAGTGTTTAGTGTTATGAGGTGTAAGAGAGGATAACAGGGGGGGTTCTCTGGGCTTGTTTTAACCTGGTCATGTAGGTTGTGATGTCGGCGTTCTCTATCGGACAAGGCGCTGAGCTGCTTGCGTTGTGGGTCGAGATCACATGAGGCAACGTGACACAACAGGACCCCTTCTGTTTGCCGGTACCCGTGGGATGTTAGGATCCTATTGCTTGTGCGCTTTTCGTGGCCCTTGTGGCCCGAGGTCCTCGGGCAGCAGCATATGTCCTTGCATATGCAAACCACCTCATCCGGTTCGGAGTTTCAGCCGAGTTTGGGGCATAGCTTGCTGCACATCGAAGCATGTTGCCGTGTGGGAAACGAGCTCCCACCTCCTGCGCAATAGCGACCGACGGACCTGACTGGACTTTGGGAGGAAACTGGAGTTACGGCGGCAGATTCGTCTTTCGGGTTTTGGCAAGCTAGTTATGGCTAGGAGGCTTTTGGTGGATGGGGATTGCCCTCGGAGGTGCGAGAGTGTCGAGCGTTGACTGGCGCAAGCGTGTAGGATACGCCTAGAGAGTTACGGTGGTGCACGCTGTAGCACCGTCTTGGCTTGCAGCAAGGAGAGAAACTAGTCGCAGGTGTGTAGAGACCTTGGGGGTGGAGGGCAGTGGCCTGAACCCGGAGATTAGTACACCGATAGGGGACCCCCTTCCCAGGGAAAGTCCGATGCGGATGCCATGCATCTGCATAAAACTGCATTTGATACTGCGGCCTCAGCCTTTCGCTACGTTGGTTTTGGACTGTCGGTGTGTGGCGGCGGCTGCGACCATATGACGTTAGGCTTTGCTTACTGTTCTGGAATTGTCTTTGCCTGGAGCAGCTGTCCAGAGCGCGCTTTGGTAGAGTTATTGAACGTGGTTGGGACGTGTTTCGTGAATTTGTGCTTTTGTTGTGCGCTGACGTTACACAAGTTTACGCGCAACGCTCGTAAGGGAGCTTTGCTTAGTTGCCGCGTAACAGCTATCTGGTCCTTGTGTACGGGGCGCGAGCGGTTTGGTAGGTTGATCATTTGTCGCTTTATGCCCCAACCCAAATTGGTTTAGTAGTCTCTGGGATCGTGTCTATCTCCCGGACGTTGGTATCGTTGAGTTGCCATCACACAGATTGGCTCTTTTCATGTCTCATTTGTGGTGTCCTTGGGCTAACAGCTTAGGTCTCGGTGCTTCCTGAAAACGCGCTCGGAGTCACGGTGGGTGTTGTACACACTTGTGCGGGGGACTGGAGCTGTCCAAAGCATGTGCTGGCAGTACGAGCGAATTAGCCGAACCAATATGCGTCTGCGGATGAGACGGTGGCGCGTGACTTGTTTTCTTGCCTGGATTTGCCATTAACCCGGTCAGCTATGGCTGTTGTTACATGACTCGGCGTGCTGCCATGGGGCAGCAGCTATGGGAGAAAGCTTAGTGCACGATTTGAAGCAGAGGTCGTGCGGGAAGATTTCACGGGCTTAATCACCTAAGTCCCACTGTCTTTGCAGGGAGGGGACTTTCCAAACTTAGTTTGTCAAGCAGATGAGTATATTTCACGTGCCATTGCATGTGCTATCCGGTATGGCGGGTGCTGCCCGACCTCGTGAGGGCTCTTACGGGTTGTACGCGCAGTGCGCGCATGCCTTTGATGCGCGTTGAATTCCCATTTTCGTGCCGTCTACTCCATTGCGTGAACACATCTGCCCGCCTTTGTTATGGCCACACGGATGGAGGACGCTCGGAGAATCATAGAGATAACCAAATTGAGAAATCATTTGGCTTCATGCCTCACGTGAACGGGTTGGCTCATAAAACCATTCCAAATGTGAGATCCAAGTAGCAACATGCATTAAGCATTGGGATTACTTAGATATTAATTAACAAAAAAGGATAAAATGCGCACCTGTTATATTGTTATGTTACAAGCTTGCGGAAGCTTGTAAGTCACAGACGAGCCAGAAGGCTCATAGGCTGCGAGTTCTAGCATCCAAAAAGGAAGAAGGAAGAAACAAAGAAGGAAGGAAAGGTGTATGGACCCCATCTGCGAGAGCCAACAGTAACTAGGTTAAGCGACCTCAGGCTCACTATTCGGCTATCATCGTGCATCGGCTCAACCAGATGTTGTGTACGTCCTGCGCAAGTCCGCGCTGATCGTCTATCTCCATGACAGACCTCGGGCACAGGCATGGCACGGGCTCGATATCAGCCTGACGTGCACGTAGGTTGAGAAGCTCTTCCCGTATATCGTTGCAGGGGGGATACTCTAGCAACACCTGAAACTCATCATCAATACTTAAATACTATTGTTACCGAACCGACACCTCTTGGCGCGACCGACTTCCGGGTCGGCTAACCTCCTAAGGCCGCGTGCACGCCCCTAAACAAAACCACGGTTGAGGCACCGCCCATAACAAGGGAAACACATGTTTTCGGAAATTTACCTGAAAAACCGTAAAACCCATAAAACCCGCATGCCATTGTTGAGTTTTAGTTTTTCAATTGCAGTTTTAGATTTTCCATATGCGGGTGTACGCGCAAGCCTCTGGACAGCAGCTTAACATGGATAAGGTTGAGCTGTTACCTGTCGGTATCCACCCACACGAAGTGAAAATAATTCATGACATGAAGGTGGTACGCATGGCAACGGCGCTCAATTTGCCTTTTACAGATGTGGGAGACACCACGGTCATGGACTGGGATGTGCATTTGGACAAAGTCTGGACGCGATTCCAACGTATTTCCATGCTACACCTCTCCATTTTTGGGCGTGCACAGGCAGCGGCCGCCTATGGGCGGCATCGTTTTACGTGGCATATAATGTAATGTAATGTAATGTAATGTAACGTAATGTATGTAATGTAACGTGGCATATGGAGCACGGGGTGTTTCCCCCAGAAGTGAAGCTTATTAATATGCAGGCTAAAGCTGCCAAGCTTATTCATAGGAACCTGGGCCCGGCTGCACATGACAGGCGGCTCACTGGGGTTCCTAAACATTTGTTATATGGCCATCCAACTTTGGGGCATTAGCAGTACACGTACAAGCGCGATGGGCGTGCTGGGCCGTGCGTTTTGTGAAGGCGATAGTCCAGCCAGTCTTAGTAAGGCCGCCTTGGGTCTTGGTCATGCACTCTTTTCTGCATGCCCTTTACCTGACGTACAATCCCATGTGTCTATTCACGTCCCAGGCGGGAGTGCCTTGGTTTGGGGTAATCGTTTTCCGCCAGGTGTTCAGCGCATTGTGCCAACGTTGGCATACCTCCCACCAGTTGAAGATGTTGCGTTAGTTCCTAATGCGTGGTGTTGGAATTTGCCTCTGTGGGGAAACCCTGTTCTTCCGGTAAAAAAATTGAGTGTCCCGTCAGTTAATATCCGCCCAGGAATGGACTCCTGGGTTGTAAGGCACTGAACACGTTCTTCTTGCACGAGATGCATTAGATGTGGTTATGCACACACCGGACCAGGCAGGCTTAGCAATACGCAACGCGCGGCATCAAATAGTGGACCAATACCTCCAACCGCAGACACCACCAGCTCAATCCCTTTGCATCTTTCGTAAGTGGCACGAGTGTATGGGTGCAATTGTCGCTCTCTTAGCTGATATCCCGGCGCATTGGCGACAGGTGGCTAGTCTTTTGTTACCTCTTGAGTGCAGAATCTAGGGCAGCGATGGTGCCCTCCATTGAGTCTGTTAATCAAACCCTGGTGTCGAGGCTAGGTGATGGGGTGCAGGGCCTGCAATTAGACTTCAAGATCCATCCGTTAAATTGGCGACTGATATGCAACTTTCGCCACTTTCTGTGGCTCGTCGAGTAGCCCATACCCTGTTCATTAAAGAGGCGATGGGCTTTTCTGAGGTACTGGGTAAAGCTATCCTTACTTTGCAACGGACCGTCCATTGTTTATGGTCTCATTTACGATGGGAGAATTAATAAAAAAAGGTTTGGTGGCGTCTCACGGTTGATGGGGTGCCCATGTTAGGAAGTTCCCATCTTAGGATGTCGCTGCCAGCAGTGTGTGGTGGTGGAGGCTATCCAGTTGGTTCCTTGGGAGGTGTATCCCCTCGCTGTCATCACTTCTGGGCCTGTCCTGTGGCACAGGTAGTAACAAACCAACTTACTCTGTCAATAGGATTGCCAGTCTCAAGGGAACAACTTTGGCTTGTCCAAGCCCCACAAACAGTGCAACAATGTGTTTGGGATGTTGTGGCTCTTGCTGCGGTGTCAGCCATGGAGCATGGGAGACGATATATGGCTGCAACCACGAAAACCAACCCGACACTGTTACCTGGCTTACAGGAGGAGCCATTTATCGAGTTATTGTTGTCGTTT